CATCATCATCATCATCATCATCATCATCATCATCATCATCATCATCATTATCATCATCATTATCGATCTACCTGTACCCTACCTACCACGCTACCACCCATTCAATCGTAGATAGGATCGCTCCGCCCTTGATTTACATCAAAACTCATTTATTCCTTTATTTATTTTATTATTATTATTATCAGGATTACCTGACCGAACGTTCGGGGGGCCCCGGGCTGCCCCTGAACGTTCGGGCGTTCGGGGTCCCGTTCGGGGGCCGAACACCTCCAGGTTTAGCTGCCGCCAAAAATATTTTTGGGGCCTAAAAATAAGTTTGCATTTTTTATTGTGAGCTCTATGATGTAACCTACACGCCTATAAATTTTGAGCCCATTCTGCTAAGCCAAACAAAACAATAAAAATCGTCAAATATGGGGGTGTCAAAACGTGCTCGCCCACTCACTGTTTTKTTTTTTTTTCACTTTTCACTTTTTATTTTCACTTTATTTCGGGGCCTAAAAAAAATTATTATTTTTTGAAACATTTTTAATGCGTTATTGATTATGTAAACTACATAGCTGTAAATTTTCAGGGCATTTGTCAATGCCAAAAACTAATTAAATATCGGCAAAGATGGCGGTGTCGAAAAGGTGCTGGCACACTCACTCATTCTAATTCTCTTTTTATTTTTTCTTATTTTTATCATAGTGTTTATTTTCTGTATTTGATTTTTAGTTCACATTTGGTAAAGAATTTGGAAGTAGTGCCCATGAAAATGTTGTTAAGTTTATTGTTCTCCATAACATATGTTTTTGTCGAAAGTGTTTGAAGACTTTTTTTTTTTTTTTTTTTTTTTTTTTTGGGTCCGCGTTCGGCCCGAACGGCCGAACGCCTTCCGAAGGGGTCCTGTACGTTCGGGCGTTCGGCCCATCCCGGACGCCGGTAACCCTAATTATTATTATTATTATTATTATTATTATTATTATTATTATTATTATTATTATTATTATTATTATTATTATTATTTTTCTAAATTTTATTTTAAAATTTTTGAAAATTCAAAAATACTTAATCACCTATCTATCTGGACATTTCTTTCTCAACAATATTTTCTTTTTTAAAAATTTCCAAAATACATAAGAGTAAGCATTGTTTCTCGGCATTTCATCTTCGAAATTCGAAAATCATTTAAATGAATTCTTTTTTGAAATTCTTGTAATTCAAAAATATTTTAGAATTAATTAGGAAGTTTTTTATGCCCAGCCGGGCACCCGGGCGTGATACCAGGGAAGGTCTGATGCCCGAGAAACCCGGGCGTGCAAAAAAAAGAAAAAATCTCCCTTTCTGCGCTTTCTCAGAGGACCCCAAATCCGGGCTCATTTCGTTTTTTCAGAGTTGGCTGTCAAGGGGGGGCAAGGCAAGTATATATTATTTTTAAAGGGGCTAAGAGGGGTTAAAGGGGGTTCCTTTCGAGTGATTTTGTTATTTTTTTTTAATCTCCTTTTCGGTGAGGAATTCGGTTGTAAACCTCAGCCAAAAGTTGTTTGTATTGAAATTCTGCACAACATATTTTGTTTCTGGAATTTTTTAACTTTCCTTTTTTTTTTTTTTTTTTTTTACGCTTGGGCTGCACGAAACCCTGTCCGGGGCCGGGCACCCGAGCGGGTATCCGACACAAGTTGGGTGCCAAGGCGCCCGGAAAAACAACCTAGAGAATTAATTATTTTTGTTTAAATTAATTAATTATTTTTCAAAAATTTTAAAAATATGCTAGAATTAATTAAATTATTTTTTTATATTTTTTTTAGAGATTCTTAAATAATTCTAATTAATTATTTTTCTCAGTATTTTAATTCACATATTCCTTTTTGCAATTTTTGTTGAAATTCAAAAAAATATTTTTCGCAATTCTTTTTCGAAATTCTTTTTTCAGAAGTATGTCATTTTTTTTTTCTTCTCTGAACTCCTTGATTTGTTTCGACTAAACTCGATTAATTCAAGACTGAATTAATCTCTTTTACTCAGAATTAATCACCTCTTTTCGAAATTATACAATTTTACCCGAACACAAATTCAAACAAATTTCCTCAGAATTTATTTTTCTCGGAATTAATTATTCTTTTTTTTTTCCTTCATTTGGAAATTCCTGAAAATTTAGCTTCGTATTTTCTTGAAAAATACACTCTCGAATAGTTTTGAATAAATTCATATTAATTTATTCAAAATTAATTCTTGCTCTGCGATTCTCTGCTACCTTCATTGCTAAATTACTTAACGACGCTCTATTCTTGTAAATAGGAATTGTCCCCGCCATCTCCACATGCCACCACGCCAAACCAAGACTTCCCAACGCGTCATCGCCGCCGCCGCTGCTGCTGCCGCTGCCGCTGCCGCTATCACATCCGCTGCTACCACCTCCACTCCCGCTTCGGCCACGTCATCCACCCCCTCTTCCCCCACCATGGCCCAATCTTTCATCAACATGTCTGATTTTCGTTCCGACTCCGTCAAGGCGATCAGCAAACTTCGACCACCACCACCCTGGAATTCGCAACTATCCTCCAAACATTGACCGCCCTCAAATCCTCCCTCGCCAACATCAACACCACCATGGCGGCCATCTTCGATCGTGTCACCACGCTCGAGGAAAACTCCCCCGTGATCATGGTTGTCACCACGACCACACCCCCTCCTCCACACCCCAACCCACTCCCTCCTCCGGACAAGCCTCCGCTTCAACCTCCACACCAACACCGTCCACATGTACACCCCAACCCTCATCCACCACTACCTCCACCATGGTCGCTCCACCTCCCCCCTCGCCCAATACGACAACCCCTGTCGTCACACAGTCATCAACCGCCCCCCCCAATCAAAACCGCTTTTATCCACCTCCACTATTACCTCAACCATCCCCAACTATACGCAGATCATTCCACAAGCTGTGTATCCCACTCCCCCACTACTTCCCACAAATGCTGTCATCCCCATCAACACCGCCAATGATTTCATCCTGTTCGACTCTCCCTCTCCCACCCTTGATTTCAATACCCTTGCCACCATTAACCCCTGAGAAGGCAAAATCCCCCCATCATTCCGCGTCAACAAAATCCCCACCTTCTCGGGCCAACCCCATGAGGATGTCCTCCTCTTTCTCACCAAACTCCAACAAGCCTTCTCTCTCCACGGCATCCCCATGATACACTGGCTCCCCATCGTTGGCAGCCGACTTCTACACAACGTTGCTCGCAGGTGATACACCGAAATGTCTAATCGCCATCACACCGGTCTCCGGCCTCACACCTTCCTTGAGTGGGCCACCCTCATCACCTCCACCTTCCACACACAGAAAACGGTCGACGACTATATCGACCAATTTTGTCGGCTCCAACAAAACGGACCAACTGACCGTTTTGCGCATTACGTCCGCTCGCTTCGTCAACATATCCCCTTTGACGCCGTCAGCGATTTCGCTTTCATCTCCCACGTTAAGCTCGGTGGCCGAAAAGACCTAGCGGTCGCCCTTGTCCACGAGCCCCCCATGACCCTCGCCGACCTCCTCACTTATACCCTCCAACTCGACCACATCCTCTCCCCCTATAAGACCACACTTACATCGGCCCCTCCCCGCCCTTGCTTTTTCCATAACATCGTCTCCGAGGACACCACCTCCACCACCTCCTCGGACGAGTTCACCTCCCCCGACCTTGACACCCTCTCTGATCCACTAGACACCACATCACTCTCCCCCAACGAGCTCTCTGTCATTCACCTCATGCGAATGGAAAAGAGAGATCGCTCCAAATGCCATTCCCCGACCACCCCCCCGGGTCTCCTCAAGAAACTCACACCCGAGGAAAGAGCCTACCTTCAAGCAAAGGGTTGATGTTTCCATTGTCGCCAGTTAGGACACCAATAAACTAACTGCCCCAATGCTGGACATGGTCACCCGCCAATCCTCAGCCCCTCGACCCGCAACCTCCGCTTCACCCCCCTCCACAGGCGCGGGTCCCTCCTCGTCCTGAACACAGTCCCCAGGACCTCGTCCCGGTATCGACAACTCGTCTGCCGGCCAACCCGCAGATGACATCCCTCGTCCCACCAACGGCCCATTTGGCATCGACAATCCGTGTGCCTCCCCCCTCCCAGGTGATACCCTCTCCATCGGATGACCCCGAGGCGTCACAACCTTCAGCACTTGAGACGCCCCCCACTGCTTTGCGCTCCTCCACCCTCCTTCCAAATCCATCCTCTGTCACCTTCTCCGATGTTGTTGAGGAACAAGCTTGACTCGATCGGCTTGTCCGATTAGGCAACGAACAACGTCGCCTCAACTCCATTATCTCCACCACCAACTCATCACGTTTTCACCTCAAATTCATCGCCGCCACCCTTGGTGTGTCTACCACTAAGTTCTGGGCCCTTCTCGACATAGGAGTCACCGGTAACTTCATCACCGACGTGTGTGTGCGGAAAGCCGGTCTTACCTCTACCGGTTATGACTCCCCGATTACGATCCATCTAGGGGCCAAAGACACCATTGTCATAATGAACCGCACGGTTCCCGAGACCACCATGACAGTAGAAACCCTCTTCAGTTAGGTCTCATTTGATGCCATGCATTTGATATGCGACATCGTCTTAGGAACACCATGGCTGGACCATTACATACCATACGCATTCCACCCCAACTTCCTCCGCCTCACCAACCCCCCCGACACAACCATCGACATTCCCTATCTCCCATATCCGACCATCCAAGGCTCCGTCTCCCCGCGTCCATTCCTCCACATGGCCCTCATGAACCCCGACTCCGCCTACTATTGCCTTGTCCTTAACCTCGAAAGTCCTGAGGATCTACTCCCAATGGACAAACCCCATCAAGCCTCCCCCTCTTACCCCGCCCTCACCTCTATCCTCGACGAGTTCAAAGACGTCTTCCCTGAGTCCCTGCCTGTCGGATTACCTCCGGATCGTGGCGTGTCCCATACCATTGATTTGGAACCCGAACATTTTCCACCTTCTCGCCCTCCATACCAATTCTCAGTCCCCAAAGCCGAAGAAATGAAGCGGCAACTCGATGAGCTCCTTGAAAAAGGGTTCATTAAGCCGAGTCCATCTCCCTTCGGTACTAGCTGCCTTTTTGTAAAGAAAGGTGGATTTTCGGAAAGCCGCATGTGCACAAGCTACCACGCCTTGAACCGGATCACGATCAAGAACAAGTACCCCTTACCTCGGATCTCCAAGATCCTTGATCGACTTCGTGGAGCCAAATATTTCACCAAGATTGACCTTCGCAGTGGCTTCCACTAGATCCGTATTCATGAGGAGGACACCCATAAGACCGCATTCTGCTCTCGGTTCGGGCACTATGAGTTCATAGTAATGCCTTTCGGACTCACCAATGCCCCCGCCACATTCCAGTCCACCATGAATCACATCTTCCGTGACCTCCTTGAAAACCATGAATCACATCTTCCGTGATCTCCTTGAAGTCTATGTCGTCGTGTACCTTGATAACATCCTCATCTTTAGCCCCACCTTCGAGTCCCACCTCCAGCATATTCGCCAAGTCCTCTCGATCCTCCGAGAGCAGAAATTATACGCCAAGCTCAGCAAATGTACGTTTGTCCCTTCGAGCGTCGAATACTCGGCCACATTATCTCCATTGAAGGCATTCGTATGGACCCCTTGAAGTTCACAACCCTCGTCATTACCACCCGCCCATGACCCTCCTCCAACTTCGTTCCTTCCTCGGCCTTGCCAACTATGACCACCCGTTCATTCGCAACTTTTCCGAGATCTCTTGCCCCCTCCACGAACTCACACGCAAGGACGAGCTGTTCAATTAGAACGATCGCCGCCAATACACTTTCGACTTACTCAAGCAAACCATCACCACGGCCCCTGTCCTCAAGATCGCCGACCCCACTCGCCATTTCTATGTCACCACTGGCGCCTCCAACTTCGCCATTGGAGCCGTACTGTCCCAACATTTGCCCTGCAACACCGTCGAGACCCCCTCCATCAAGGACTGGTCCACTCACCCCGAGGCTCCACCCGGCTAATGCCCCATCGCCTTCTCAAGCAAGAAGCTCCTTCCCGCGGAGATGAATGACCCCTCCAACGAGAAGGAACTCCTCGCCATGATTCACGCCCTCATAGTCTGGCGCCCGTATCTCGACTAGCAATACTTCACCATCCGCACTGACAACGCCATCGTCTCCTTCATCCTCTCCAAGAAAGATATCACTCCACGCCAAGCCTACTGGCTAGACTTCCTTGCCCAGTTCATATTCACCATTTGCCATACCCACGACAAAAGCAACTGCGTTGCGGATGCCCTCTCTCGACAACCTGACCACAAGCCCCCGAGAAAGTCTACGCCGCCATGACTCGTATCCAACTCCTCCTATCCCTCCATCACCGATACACCCAAGGCTACTGTTGTTGCCCAGACTTCGTCACCATCGACAACAAGCTCCACGATCTTGACCCAGTCCCCGACTACTCCGTTCACGACAACCTTCTCTACATCGATACCAAAGGCACTCGCCGACTTTGCATCCCCGACACACGTGGTCTTCGTACTCAGCTCTTGGCCGAGCACCACGACGCCAAGACCGCAGGACACCTCGGTTTCCAGAAAACCTTCGACACCATCTCCCACTACTTCTACTAGTCTTCCCTGCTCGCCGACGTCAAAGCATACATTCGCTTATGCCCCACGTGTCAAGTTGTCAACCTCTCGAACCGGGCCAAACCCGGCAAGCTCCAATCATTGCCCATCCCAACTCACTATTGGCAGTCCATCTCCATGAACTTCGTGTGCGGCCTCCCTAAGACTGACCGCGGGCATGATTGCATCTACGTCATTGTCTGCCGCTTGACCAAACTTGCCCACTTCATTCCCTGCACGACTTCGCGCAGTGCCAAAGACGTCGCCACCCTCTTCTTCGATCATGTCGCATGGCATCACAACCTCCCCGAGAACATCATCAGTGATCGTGATCCCCGCTTCCTCTCACAATTCTGGAAACACCTCTTCAAAGCATATGGAACCACGCTCAAGTATAGCATTGCATTCCATCCCCAGACCGATGGACAAACCGAGAAGATGAACGATACTCTCCAAAGAATCCTGCAGAAGTATTGTCCTTCACACCAACACGACTGGGACCAGTTGCTCACTGACGCTGAGATCGCCTATAACAATGTCGTTTGCCCTTCCACTGGCATGTCCCCGTTCTACCTCGACCTTGGCTACCATCCTCGCTTGCCCTCCGACTTCCTGCTTCCCTCGCAGCTCAACCCCTCCACACCCTGCTCTTCCCTCGATGAATGGGTAGCAACAATGAATCGACTCCTCAGAGAAGCAACCGAAGCCCTTGAAATAACACAAGAACAACAATCAAACAAGATTAACAAGCACAGACGAGGCTTGCAATTCAAAGTAGGGGACAAAGTTTGGCTCTCCGCCAAACACTTTACACCCGAACATGGATTGTCAAAGAACCTCTCGAACAAATGGCTCGGACCCTTCCCTATCATTGAAAAAACCTCTGACGTCAACTACAAACTCCAACTCCCCCCTGACATGAATCGTGTTCACCCTGTCCTCCACATAAAATACCTGAAAGAGTATCATGAATCCCCACCTCAATTCGCTGACCGATCTTACCCCCGACCTCCACCAATCATGCTTCCCACAGGCCCGGAATTCGTAGTAGAATCCATCATAGGACAACGAACTACACAGGTATCAGACCATCCGGAACCTATCAAAGAATACAAAGTCAAATAGACCGGATACCCCGATGAAGAATCTACATGTGAACCTCTCTCTAATCTTAAGAACGCTATGAAACTTGTTTGCACATA